CTCTCTTCTCTCTTCTCTCTTCTCTCTTCTCTCTTCTCTCTTCTCTCTTCTCTCTCTCTTCTCTTTTCTTCTCTTCTCCTTTGCTTACTCTTCCCTCCTGTTTCCTTCTAATTCCCTTACTCTTTCCCCTCCTCCTCTTTCCCTCATCATCTCTTTTTTCACTCATCTTTTTCCTCTCGCTTCCCTTCCTTCTCCTTCTCTTTTCCCTTCTCTCTCTTTTCTTCTATTTCATTTCCTACCCTCATTTCTCTCCCTTCTCTTCCCCTTTCCCCCCTTCTCTTCGACTTCCCTTTTCCTTTCTTCCTTCTACGTGTCCTTTCCCTCACTCGTTTTCCCTTTTCCCTTTCTCCTCCCCCCTACCCCCCCCCCCCATTCGCCACACCCTAATAACCCTCTCCAGCTTTGTGACTTTCTTTCATTATCCTGTGGTCTTACCCACATAGCGGCGACCCCCTCCCCCCTCCCTCCTTCCCTCCTCTCTCCCCCTCACACACTCCCTCTCTCTCTCTCTCTCTCTCTCTCTCTCTCTCTCTCTCTCTCTCTCTCTCTCTCTCTCTTTCATTCTTACTCCTTTCCCTCTTCCTCCCCCTCCCTTCCCTCCCTTCTCCCTCCTCCACCCTCACGATCTCTCTTCCTCTCTCCTCCCCTTCCCTCCCTCCCCTTCCCTCCTCCCCTTCCCTCCCTCCCGCCCTTTCACTCTCCCTCCCCTCCCTCCCTCCCCCCTCGCCCTACGCACACCATTTTCTCACACTTAAATCATTCCTACCCTTACTGGGTCATCATCACGAGTGTTATTCCCCCCATTATCTCTTCACTAAATACATTCTTCGCTAAAACGGTCATTCTTCACGAATTACTGTCGTTCGCTTTTATGTGTTTCTCACATGCGACACGAGTTCTTTAAGAAAGGAGAGAGAGAGAGAGAGAGAGAGAGAGAGAGAGAGAGAGAGAGAGAGAGAGAGAGAGAGAGAGAGAGAGAGAGAGAGGAAGGTAGAAAGAGAGAGAAGAGAAAAGAATATATATATATACATATATATATATATATATATATATATATATATATATATATATATATATATATATATATATATATATATACATTTACATATGTATGTATGTGTGTGTGTGTATGTATATGTATATATATATATATATATATATATATATATATATATATATAGAGAGAGAGAGAGAGAGAGAGAGAGAGAGAGAGAGAGAGAGAGAGAGAGAGAGAAGAGAGAGAGAGAGAGAGAGAGAGAGAGAGAGAGAGAGAGAGAGAGAGAGAGAGGGAGAAGAGAAGAAAATAGAGAGGGCGAGAAACACTAAGACATTCCACCAGAATCAGCATTATGCATCAGCAATATTGCAAAGAAAAAATAGATTTCCCCATATGCTGACTTATCATGTATACTTTTTTCTATTGCATCTCACTTGCACATGCAAAACCCCACGCACCTGCCTTTTAATCAGGGATCACCTTATGGCATCACCGGGTATTGATACTGAAGCAAGACTGCAAAATTATATATTTTTGTTCCCTAATAACTCGGGTCACTAATCACCGAATCTATTACTTCTATGCTAATTGCTCTATCCTTAATAACTCTCGCGTGACTTCCTTCTCGCAATTCTCACGGGATAAGAGAAAAAAAGTTAGGATTATTAACTGCTATGAGATTAGTGGGAGTCAATCGTGAATATTTGCCTTCGCTTATCTTAATGGCGCAGAGGTAAGGATGGTTTGGGCTGAGCAAATAGCCACGACTGCCGAATTGATGGCTTATCGTCATACAGATGCCCTACGCTGCTTCCTCGGCGCTCGCGGCAAAGTCATAAAACACTGAAATAGCATTAGGATTAAATCGCCAGGATTAAATCGCCTGGTGGGTCCGGGTGATTTGCGGATCCTTGTCTTGCGTTGAATTTGGGGATTTATGATAATGCGATAAATTTTCGTTTATTTTGTTCTATTTATTTATCCAATTCTCAAATGAGCTTGTTAAGAGTAAAAAGAGATTTCGTCATTATGTGTTTTATATTTGTCTTTCGTGTAGTCTTGGATGTGTTCATTCGTATATTTTCTTTTTTTTCTTTGTGTAGGGGTTAAGTAAGTTACGCCGAATGAATGAGAAACTTTGATAAAAGTTGGACAGGCGGTGAGGGTACAATAACAAGCTCCATTGCCGTCGACAAGCCAAAGATCTTTTAGTTGTTTGGCCGAGTTGGCGTTTCAGCGTCTTTAAAAATGGCGGGCAACTCCGTAGTCAAGCGAGAGTCTGAGCGGAAACGGCTTTAAAAAATGAAGACGCCTCCTTCTTTCAAGCAAATGGACTTCTGGCCCAACAGTCCGAGACAGAACCGAAGGCCTTCGTCAATCGCCCCCGAATAATAGTCCCCAAAAAAGGCGAAATTGGAATCTCGGGGGTCGGGGCAGGAGCGCGGCGCTGGCCAATGAGCGCGGAGCGGCGTGACGTCACTGGCTTGGCTTGGGCGGAGGAGCCGGGCGTGGCTCAGTCGTGGCTCAGTCGGCCAGCTGTGTGCGCGGACGAGACGTGTGACCCGTCGCAGTGGTTTTAAGACCCCCCAACTGTACGCTCCTCACTCCTTTGCGTTTTTCGACTTTGGTTCTGTTTTGAAACCCAACTTTTGCATCCAACATGACGACCGAGACCGACACTAAGCCCGTGGAGCAGACCGAGGAGAAGAAGGAGGAGGCGAAGGACGAAGTCAAGAAGGAGGAGGCGGAGGTGAACAACGCCGAGGAAAAGGCGGACGACAAGGCCGAGAAAGCCGACAAGGAGAAGAAGGACGAGAAGAAGGAAGCCAAGCCCAAGAAGGAGCCCGCCCCTCCCAAGCCGGCGGTGCACAAGCTGGATTTCGAGAAGGACGTGGTGTACCTGTACCAGTTCACCCGCACGCCCGTCCTGCCCTCGCTCAGCCCCTACTGCCTCAAGGTGGAGACCTGGCTGAGGCTCGCTGGTTTGAAGTACGAGGTGAGTGGCTTGGCTTTTTATTTTCGTCGTCGGGGATTCTGTGGGGCGCGTGAAAAGGCCGCAGGAAGGCGGTGTTGGAGCGAGGCTGGAGGCGCGGCGTCGCTGTTCGAGTCCGGGCCGACGAACGCGACTCCGCGGCCCTCCCTCCGGTGCTCGCTTTGTCCTCGTGTTAGGGGGGGCTGTGCCGGTCCCCAGGGGCCCGAAGGGAGGCAGTTCGGTCCAAAATTCTACAGTGTAGATGTGAAATGAACCGAGTGAGTTTAAAAGCAATGGAAATTCAGTGTTTAGAGGAGCGGCCGGGCGGCTGCGTTGGAGTCTCGGCTTGGAGCGTCGGTCGCTGGCGGGCAGACGCGGGAGGAACGCTTCTTACGTTTTCATTATTCCTTGCTTTATTTTCTCGTTCTTCTGTGCCGTTATGCGTTCTAGTGATTTTAGAGGTAGTTTAACTTTCATCCTGCACTTGAATTACGATATTAATTACAAAATGTGCCTAATATATTATTGGGGACGTTATGCATTTACTGAGGCAACTCTTGAAAGAAGGCCAACCGTTTATCTATTTCTCCTTTGAAAAAATGGCTACAAGCCAGGTGGGCGTAGCTTTGTGGGCGCAAGCATCGAGATCCTAGCAATTGTTCCTTGATTACAACCCCAGCCGCGTCCTCTCTTCCTCTCCCTCTCCCCCATCCTCCCTGGCTTGCGGTGGAGGGAGGAGAGGGAGAGGGAGAGGGTTGCTTGCTTACTCCCTAGCCCTCCCCCTCTCCCTTTCCCTCTCCTTTTACTCCACTCGCATGCCTCCCACCCTCTTTTTTGACCACGTTTGTCCTGGGGGTGGAGGAGGGGAGGGTAGTGGGGAGGGGAAGGAGGGCGGTGGGGAAGGTAGCCTGGCTGGCCGCTCTGTTGTTGGGGTAGAGCGTGTGGATGCTCGGGTTGTGTTCTTTGTCTTGGAAGGGGTGGGTGGGTTATCGGGCGTGTGAGTGGGGGGAGAGGTTGTAGTTTGTTTCGTGAGGTTGTAAACTCATCCCCTGGGCAAGGGCTGTGGGTTTGCTGTAACTTGGGGAAGTTAATCAGTCGCCTTAGTTATACTTTTGCTGTCATTATCCTCTGTTCATACTTCCAAGCCTTTGAACAAAATTGCCTGTTCCCAATTGCTGCCGAGAGCGACGCGCCCTCCAGAGGCCAAGTCCAAAAAACAGGGTATCATGCGAACCCAAAAATCCAAGCCTAACCTTTTTCCCTTCTATTTCTTCCCTCGGCAAGGCGCAACGTAGCCTGCGCCTCCTTTAGTAGCATTTTGTGCCAATTTACAGAAAACTGGCTTTGTCAGGGTGTTGTGGACTTGATCTCTGAGCAGTGACGTGCATCGGATATTTTCGTCATTTCGCTATAAATGGGAGGTCGCTGTAGCTGTGCCTGTGCTGTTTGTCTATTTCTTATGCTGCACAGGACTTCAATGTCCATTTCCCTCGTTGTCCGTCGCTTCATAAATTGGGTTGTAAAAAGCCGTTCAAAGCCAAATCAAGCCTCCGTTTCCTTCATGACGAGCGCGACACAAAGCCAGCAGAGTGCAGGCTGGCTGGCGAGCGTGGGGGGCGGGGGAGGTTGCGCAGGTGATCAACTGTTGTCGGATGAAGCCTCGGCGGGGACAGGAAAAATGGATGAGGGTGGATGGGCTGGCGGGCGTGGGTGGTGGGTGGCAGGCGGCGTATGAGAATTGTTGTTGGTTTGGTTGTGTGGAATCGCGGGTGGGCGGTTATTGCTTGTGGATAGAGCTTTGTAGGGTCAGGAAAGGGAAGGGGGTTGTGGATAATCTTTTTAAAGCCCGTTCATAGATTGCGTAGTTTAAAGGCCCTTTCTGGATGGCGCCGGCCCTTTCAAAAGCACGGCGGATAAATGCCCACGTATTATACACCGTCTCACAAAATCCGAAAATCCCGCCCTGGTTTCTGGCTGTCCCCTTTTCCAGCAGATACGATCACAAATTCTGGGATTCCGTTCCTCCCGATTGGACCCCGAGTCTTGAAAGGGTATGTATTTTTTGGTGCGGTGTTTGGCGGCTCTAATAACCCCGTTGTGAAAGGGATAAGCTAATCCTTGACCGCGGCCCAGAAGTTCCCAGGAGGATGAAGGTGGAGGAGGAGGGCGAAACCTTTAAAAGGGAGGGGATTTAAAGGGGCGTCGCTGGGGTAGAATTTGTATAATTTTTTACCTTGAGCTTTCTTGAAGGGAGGGTGGGGGGGGAGTAGACAGCTTCGCGTCTGTACCCAAAGTGGGCGGGGCTCGCGGGTGGGCGTGGTGGGCGCGAAGGTTTCGGGGCGTGCAAGGCTGTGGTGCATCTGGTCCGAGGGGAGAGCGGTTGACAACGGCGGCGTCCCTTGGCGAGCAGAGTCAGCGGTCGCGAGGAGCTTATCTGACGGCGATCGCCTTCGTCAGCGCCGCCTCTCCTTAACCTGACGTCCACGGGTGTTTCGACGGCGGGGAGGCCGGGAGGCGGGGGCCCTTCTCGTTTTGCTGCTTGCTTTTCATCTCGCCTTGGTTTAATAGATTTCTTCGCATTTTTTCATTTAACTTTCTTACTTTTTGTTCTTGGCTCGTGATTTCATGCCAGTGCTGAGGATTTGGGAGTGAGTAATGGACGGTGTCTAGTCATGTTTTCGTCGGCGTGTCCCCTCCGCTCCTTTGTCAGGGAAGGGAATTGGAAATGGGAATTAGGAATGGGAATCGCCAGGGGCTGTTCCGCCTTTCCTTTCTCCTCCTCCCCCTTTTCTTCGTTACGCCCTTGCTTCCTTTTCCTTCGCTCCTCCCTCTCCCCTCCCTTTCCCCTCTTTCCTTTCCCTCTTCTTTCCCTCTCCTTCTCCCTTCTTAGTCGCCTACATCCTTCCCCCACTTTCTTACTCGCTCCCCTTCGTTTCCTCTACTCCCCCCTCCCCCTTCCCCCTCTTCTTTCTTCATTCCTTCCACCTTCCATCCCCCTCCCCCTTCCCCCCTCTACTTCCTTCCTCTTACGAAGCGTCGGTCGTCCTTTTCGCCGGAAATCCTCGGATCTCATTAGGCATGCAAATCCCACAGACGCTCCTGGGACGCATCCTTGCCCCCCCCCCCCTCTCCCCATCCCCCCTCGCGAGCAGCTTGTGAAGGAGGAGGAAACCTGGTGTATCGGCCGGGTTAAAGGGAACTTTTGATTTCCTGTGATTGTTTTAAATGGACACGTGGTGGGTTGGGGGGAGGGAGGGAGAGAACGAACCTGACCTCCCTCCCTCCCTCCCTCCCTCCCCCCCCCCCTCCCTCCCCCTTCTTGCCTTCGTCCGCCTCCGTGACAGATGGCAACAGATGGCTGAGGGAGTAGTTTGTACTAACGGTAACGGAAGATTGTCTTGGAGGCAAGATGTTTATTAAGAAAAAAGGGGAGAAGAGCCGGTGATGGTTCGGTCGGCGGCGGCCAGGTGGCGTGCATGTGGTGGAAAAAAGTTGAGGGAAGCGTCTTGGTGAGAGAGACTTTCGAGGAAGGGCAGCGCCTCCGCCTCATCCCCTTCTTTTCCTTCTTTCGTTTCCTCTGCTTGTTCCCTTTTTCTCCTATTCTTTCTCCTTCCTCTTTCCTCTGCTCTTCCCCGCACTTCTTGTACTCCTCCCTCCTCCTCTCTCCCCTCCCTCCTTCCTTCCCTCCTCCCCCAGCGATCCGTCCCCAGGTGCTGACGGCGGGGGGACCGGATGCCTTCTTAACGACGCCCTAACGACTCCTAAACGACGCTGGGGCGACAAATCTGGCTGGCTGCGCTGAAGTGGTTCCAGGTGACCCAGCATGACGTGCCTGACAACAGCTTCTGCGGGCGCCCTCCCTCGCGGCGGGGAACAAGCGAGCGGCGTGCAGGGGGGCGGGGGCGCCCTCGTGGATCTGTGCACCGAATCGATACTCAATGTACACATCTTGGATGCACCGCCGAGCCTGCCTGCTTGCCTGTAATTGCGTCCACACGAGGCGCGTCTTTCCCACTTTGTCCTTTCTGTCTTCCTTCTTTTCCTCCCCTTTCTTTCTTCCTTTCCTTCCTTACCCTCTCCCCTCTCATCTCCATAGTTCGCATTCCTCTCCCTTACCATCTATCACCCCCTCTTCTCCCTTCTTAGTCGCCTACATCCTTCCCCCACTTTCTTACTCGCTCCCCTTCGTTTCCTCTACTCCCCCCTCCCCCTTCCCCCCTCTACTTCCTTCCTCTTACGAAGCGTCGGTCGTCCTTTTCGCCGGAAATCCTCGGATCTCATTAGGCATGCAAATCCCACAGACGCTCCTGGGACGCATCCTTGCCCCCCCCCTCTCCCCATCCCCCCTCGCGAGCAGCTTGTGAAGGAGGAGGAAACCTGGTGTATCGGCCGGGTTAAAGGGAACTTTTGATTTCCTGTGATTGTTTTAAATGGACACGTGGTGGGTTGGGGGGAGGGAGGGAGAGAACGAACCTGACCTCCCTCCCTCCCTCCCTCCCTCCCTCCCTCCCTCCCTCCCTCCCTCCCTCCCTCCCTCCCTCCCTCCCTCCCTCCCTCCCTCCCTCCCTCCCTCCCTCCCTCCCTCCCTCCCTCCCTCCCTCCCTCCCTCCCTCCCTCCCTCCCTCCCTCCCTCCCTCCCTCCCTCCCTCCCTCCCTCCCTCCCTCCCTCCCTCCCTCCCTCCCTCCCTCCCTCCCTCCCTCCCTCCCTCCCTCCCTCCCTCCCTCCCTCCCTCCCTCCCTCCCTCCCTCCCTCCCTCCCTCCCTCCCTCCCTCCCTCCCTCCCTCCCTCCCTCCCTCCCTCCCTCCCTCCCTCCCTCCCTCCCTCCCTCCCTCCCTCCCTCCCTCCCTCCCTCCCTCCCTCCCTCCCTCCCTCCCTCCCTCCCTCCCTCCCTCCCTCCCTCCCTCCCTCCCTCCCTCCCTCCCTCCCTCCCTCCCTCCCTCCCTCCCTCCCTCCCTCCCTCCCTCCCTCCCTCCCTCCCTCCCTCCCTCCCTCCCTCCCTCCCTCCCTCCCTCCCTCCCTCCCT